AGGCACTCAGTGATTTCAAAGAGAAGCACTCACCTTTTCAAGCTGATGCCTTGAAACAGACCAGCTCCTCTCCTGTTCTGCTGCTGTGATGCTCCTTCTCAGGCCCTCCGGTTGGCACAGGGAGCTGCTGCCGCTCCCGCTGTACGTGTAGCCTTTGTCACTTGGCGCTGCCCTCCCTCACAGGGTCGGTGTGGGGACAGACAGGGGTGCTCCCAGGGTCTCCTTGAAACACCTTGTGCCTCCAACTCTGTGAGGGAAGGGCAGGCAGCCTTCGGGCACTCCTGCCCGTGTCCCCACGTGGGCACGTGGGGCTGGGCTCACCCGCCAGGCTTTGGCTGCCTGCAGATGGGAGGGAGGGCAGAGCACCTTTGCTGCCTCCTCACCTCTCTGCATTCTCTGTCCAGGTGAGGGTGGAGGCACGTGGTACATTGACCTGAAGAACAAGGGTGGGAGCACTGGTTTCGGGAAGCCTCCTGGGACAGCCGATGTGGTGATGAGCATGTCGAGTGCTGACTTTGTGAAAATGTTCACAGGTGAGGGACAAAGGCCTTTGTCAGACACAGGTACCAGTGCCCAGAAAACCTCCTGCTGATGGGGGAGGAGACAGGCTCCTCGCTTCCTGATCTGGGATGGAGGAGGTTTCGGCTTTTTGTGACTGAGGAGAAAGTGTAGGCCAGAAGGGCTTGCATTTTTCTGGACTCCTGTGTTCTGTGAACGGGAAGAGAACAAAAGCTTACGCTGCTTTTATTAACCAGGTATTGACATTTTAGCAGCCAGTGTAGCTTCAGTCATGTCAATGTGCTGTACTTTTGCACATCTCTAAGCAATGTTTCCTTAATGTGTGCTGCTTTTAGAGGAGGACTTGGTAGGAAAATGGCCTGATTTGTTTCAATTCCCCTGAGAGATCTGAGTTATATGGTCTTTTCTCAGTTAAAATCAGTCATAATCTAATAATTTCACTAAGTTAGAGGATACAACTATCCCTCTTACAAAGTGTTTTCTGGGTCCAGAAAAGGTAGGTATTGATGAAGTACTGTTGGACAAGAGTCAATGTCAGAACTTTCACAATGGTAAATTGCTACACTTCTTTGTAAGTATGATTTTTGCATTTATCACTATTCAAAACTGTTCTGAACCTTCTTTAGCAAGCTTCAAAATGAAGTCAGAAGAGAACAGATTATTCATGAAAAAAGAAGTTATCCAGTAAGTTAATCATTATAATCAAGACCTCAAAATACTTCTACAAATGAACTGGAAAAGTAAATTCTATTTTAATTAATCAGCCTCATTATTTTCAGCAAAGGGCTTTAATATTATGAAATATAGATAGATAAATAGATTAATACATTGTTAGACTGAGAGATTTTAATTGTTTAAGATTTAATTGCAGAGTCTGATTTTTACCACATGGATAAAACCATGAAGTTTATTCCAAAGAAGAATTTCTATAGAACTTGAAGATCTTATTCTAAAGATATTACTGTTTCCTCTGCACAGCCTTTATCCAGGTCCTTTCCATTTTCTCATGATTCTGTTTCTCTTTTTATATAAGATCTTTTTATATATGGCTTTCATGTCAAGAAATTCTAGTATTAAAGGTGACACAGTTCTACCATGGAATCTGCCACAGATAAATTTTGAAGGCTAGCAGAAATATTGGTCTTTCATATATAACTTCATTGCTTTTTTAAAGTGCCAGTCCTTATTTCTTTTTGATGCAATATGTATAGGTATCAATAGATTTTATAATTTTTAGAGAAGTTACAACTCAGTTTGAATATAATATCCAACGGCAAACATTTTTAATAACTTGGTGTAATGACTAAAAGAAAAAATATGTCATAAAATTCTGACATTTCAGGGACAGCTTTTTTAATTTTCACCTTTTCCTCTGGCTGCAAACTATCTTCTCTTACTATGAGATGTAAATTTAACAGAACTTTTTTCTTATAATGTTGTCTTTGAATTACCTGATGTCTAATGAGATGTGAGTTCTAATCCCAGGATCAGGGGATGCACGGCATGTTTCCACTGTACTGTAAGAGCTGAGGCCAGCACTAACTTTTCCTCTGACTGGGAGACAAACAGCATTTTTTTCTCTTGTACTGGTTTCACAAAGCTTGTAGGAAATGACCACCCCATCAAAAAGTTGTTAAAAAGGGCTGATGATTTCAAGCTATTGGAAAACACAGTGTGTGTGCTTGCATGAAAAATACGGCTACATATATTTTGTTTCTTTAGGGAGCCACCTTGAAATACTTGAAATACACCTTTTGAAACCTACTGATTCTAGAAAACATTTTTCAAGTCAACATATATATTCAAAGTACATTTTCAAATGCTGCCCTGTAAGACTTCAAAAACTGAAGCAGATGAAAGAACTTGGGTATTGGGAGCAAGCTTGTTTAATTTCAGACCTATTTCATGAGCAACCCCATGTCTTCACAATTTTCCTTTCTGTGCAACTTTTTTGCCAAAGAATTTTTGGTTTTCAGGGTTACTGGAGTAGAGGGGAAAGGTGTGCAGCATCCAGTACATTAACTGTGTCCTGGCACCTGAAGACAGAATGTGCAACTTTGCCTCCCTGCCTATGTGGGTAGTTAATGGTGCATATGCTTCTTATGCAGTCAGTAATACTGCTCTTGCACTACATGGTTGATAACTGTAATGTCATTTGGTGAGGTACTGTGATGCCTCTGACACCTACAGAAAGGCGTCATCTTCAGAGGAAAAGTGCTTTTGTTCAGGACGGATCCAGAGCAGCACAACCTGCCCCCACCTGGCCACTGTGTTTTTTCTCTCTCTAACACATCCGTAGTGTTGCTTGCATGGTGGAGGAGTGGGAGCTCACCAGGTTCAGAATCTTTAGAATAAAGGGTGTGATGGCTGTGCCTTGCCATGGGTACTGTGGGACCCATGATGTGATCTGGAGTATTAGGGACATTTGATCCTTGCATTACAAACTTTCATATTATGCCATTTCTGGAGTTTTCATGGTAAAAAAAGGCATGACTGAAAAACAAGCCAGTCTGCTGTGCACTGTGAGGACAAAACCGAGAATGGGTGCTGTAGCAGAGGAATTACTGCAGGTATTCACATTCTGCAGAGGATTTTTACAAGAGGTCAAAACTGTGTAGCATTTTAATCCACTGCTCACTTCACAGCGTTTGAGGCCCATAAAAATGAAGTGGCTAAACAAACTGTGATTGTTCTGCTGCTGTGGGTAACTGGTTTTCTGGGTGATGATAAAGCTACTGATTTTCTGGGTGATGAGAAGAGAACAGCTCCAGGACCTATGTAAGGCACGGACACGATCTGTTTGCTGCTGACGGTAGTGAGCAGGACCGATGGCTCATCCATCACACTGGAAGGAGATGTAAACTCATGCCTCGTGTTCTCAAGGGTTTTGTTTCGATGTCTTCTCTCCCACGTATTCAGCACAGTTCCAACTCCTGCGGCGGCGTTCAGAGAGGCGCCGGGACCGACAGCGGCCGACGCCAGCAGAGGGAGCAGGCAGCACGCTGGAGAGCGCTGGCTTTGGACACGCAGAGCTTCCGGGGGCTGCCAGGCTTGCGCAGACATCCTAAAGGACCAGACTCGCCAAAGTGCATCAGTATCTTTTGTGCTCAAAGCAGGAGTCAAGTGTGGGATAGGGTAGGACACGCAGATTTGCGGCAACATCAAAATCTGCGTCCGCGCCTTGCAGACTCTCACTTCCCTGCGCTCGCTTTTGGTACAGTCCTTGCTCCAGAAGGGAGAGGGTGTACCTCTAGGTGACAGAGCACCAGGACTTGTCATTCCTATCTCTCCCACTAAAATAATCAGTAAGGGCTTAATGCTTTGTTGTCAGGGACAGACTTGGTTTGCAAGAATACTGGCCTGGGTGCTTAAAACTTTGACAAAAATTAAACCCACTGAATCTCAGTCCATATAATGGAGTGTTGCTAAATCTTAGTTCTGTGTAGCATTCTATTCTGAAACAAATGTTGCTTTATATAACAAAGCTAAGCTTTAACTAACTAAATATAATTAGCTCAAGCAATAATACAGAGTCAGTATTTTTTACTGGAATGGGCTGTAGCTCTGCTTCCCTCTGTTTCCACCAGGGGCTGAGGATAAGACCTTGCTAACTGTATCATCACAGTATTATCACAGGTTTACCTGTCTTGAGACAGGTTTGCCTGCACAGAGCTTTATCAGCGGGGCCACACATCAAGTTGGAGTTACCATAAGGAAAAAAAAAATGAAAAGAGAAGGAAGTGCCTGACCAATAGCCAGCCAATAAGCAAAGCAATGTGGCCCCAAGAAGAGTATCCTTTCCAGAGTCTGCAAGAAGTAAGGATGAGGAAGATGTCCATAGTTATTCTTTTCAGGCTTTTTCCTCTTTTAACTCTGTGCTTGGTATTAGGACCCAGCCAAGCGACCTCTGGGTTGTTCCTGTGTGTGATGCTGTCAGTGCTGACAAGATCACATGTAATCAGTCACAGGTGGTGCATGTCAGTCACTCCACTTTGTGCATGTTTATGGCTGGTAATGCTTATGGAATATGTACCTGATTATTACATACTTTTTTATTTGCTAATGCTTGTTTTTTTCTATAATGTAACCTAAAGTTACAAATCAGATATGAAACATGGGGGGATAAACAGAAGAATATCAGACTATCAGCAGTAGCTTTCCATGAGAACTTATTAGAATACTGAGGTTTACTAGTGGAAGGCCATGAGGATAATATCACAAAGGCAATAGCACAGGAAGGAGAAGAGAAAAAGACTGACACAGCAACTGAGGTGGAAGGCTGCAGGGGTGCAAGTGAAAGGCAAGCTATGAAGGGGATGCTCTTGGTGTTGCAAAGATGAAGGCACTTGTCTGTGTGCAGCAGTTGATGTATCTGGCATTTGCTGCTCAGTGCTAGAGGAATGTTTATGCAATGAAATTGTGATCACAAGGTTGGTCTTGGAGGCCACATAAGAACTTCATAAACAAGGTGGCAGGAAAGTACACACACTGTTTCTTCATGGCTCGAGCTCTATGGTTAAGCTCAAGTTCTGTGCTTAAGCTCACCAGAAAGTGAAGCAAGAAAGAAGTGTGTTCGTAAAATTTCTTGAATGGTGTGAATGGTAATTTTAAGCTTATTTCCCCATTCTCACTTTCTCCCACAGATAGGAATCACACGACATGAGCAACAACTCTGAAAACATACCTTTTAATCAATGGTTAAAGCTTTAGCAGTGTGAGGGCTAAATATCATATCATCATTATGTTCAATTGTCATCTTGGAGTATGTGTGAGATGTGGTATTGGGTGAATAAATAACACAAAATCAGGGTATAGAGTTCTGGGCTTTTTTTTTACATAGAAACATAATTCATATGATTCATAGCACTTTGTCCAGAAGGATGTTGTGAGCTCTTTCCTTGTAAGGTAAGAGCTTACTATTTCTGCTAAATAATTAAATGTGATAAAAGGGAATTTTGTGATCCAGACTTTACTGTTAAAGCAGAGTGTCTTGGTCACATCTATTCACTGAAATAGGTCTCTCAAACTTTGAAGTTTGCCAGGCCAAAAATGGAGGGAACAAAGGAATAACATGATTGCCTTATGTCGAGCAATGCAAGTGGGTGAAAAGCATGACCCAGTTATGTTTTACAGCCATTCTCAGTGTTGTAAAGCACATAAGGAATAACTTGAGGCCACAGGATGGAGACCAAAGCATCCTGGTTTCTTAAACATAGAAACATCATTGT